TCACTGGCCGGAAGTTTGCCGCCTCGTTTGATTTTCCTGGCTTCCGTAGGGGTACCAGCATTCCATCTCCAATTTCGAATTCGGCCCCAGTTTCAAAGTGCTTATTCATGATGACCGCCAGTTCTTCCGCAATCTGGTGCTTGAGAGCCTTTAGAACCTCGGCCGGTATTTCATCTGGGCCGCTAGCCTTTCCGTTTTTGAGCTTTGTGATGGCTGCCTCCACTTCGGCTGCTGTGATGGGCTTGCTTAGTGGTTCAGGCATTTCTTCATCATCTTCCTCCTCCTTATCCTTGTAGAAGACCTCGTTGAAATGTCTTCTTAGTTCTTTCTCCATTGCTTGTTGGTCATCCGTTTCTTCCCCTGAGTGGAGTTTGATGGTTTTGGGGATTTTTTCTCTTCTCTTGAGCATTTTTATCACTTCGAAAGCAAGGCCTTCATCCGACCTTTCCTCGAGAACTTCGATTTTTTGTTCAATTCTCCATATCGCTCGCTCTCGGGTTAGATGTTTTAGTCTCTTGTTCATCAGGTTTCTTTCTGTTCTCAAGTTCGATTTTGTTTCAGCTTTGGTGTTGTGCTGCTTTATCCTTCTGTGGATCTCATTCTTTTCTTGATACAGCTTCTCGATCTCAGAGCACATGGGGGTCTCCTGGAGTCTTTGGATTGGCTTTCTTTTTGGCAGGGTTTTCATTCCTTCCTTCAAGGCCATCCTTAGATTTGACAGACCCTCTTCCTCGTGACCTTCCTTGTACTCAAAGACCCTCTCCTTCAGGTTTTCACACACTGATGGATCTTGAAGTGCATCCAGGTCTGGTTTCGAGCTAGTCTGGAACCATCTCTTCTTTTTACCTGGTGTGTTTTTCATCTGCAGGCTTATAACTACCAGTCTGTGATCTGTTTCAACATCTCGGGTGTTGTAACTTTCACTGTTTGTGATCAGGTGTCTGCATTTGTTGGGGACCAAGATGTAGTCTATTTGATTGTAGATCTTTTTGGCCCCTACTTGCCCACACCAGGTAGCTCTCATTCCAAACTTCTTCTTGAACAAGGTGTTAGTCAAGATCATGTCTTTTCTTTGGGCAAAACTTAGGAGAGAGGCCCCTCCTTCATTTCTAGTGCCCATCGAGAAGGAGCCAGCATTTTTTGGGTAATCATCACATCGTCTTCCAACCTTGGAGTTGAAGTCTCCTAGCAGGATGTTGACTTTGTCTTTTGCCCAAGCTTCTTCTATGTCCTTGTAGAACTTTTCTCTTTCTTCCGGATGCTTTTCACAGACTGGTGATGTTGGAGCATAGACTACTATAATGTTAGCCTCGAGATTTGGCATCTTTAGATTCAGTGCTCCCACCCTGTTCGAAATGCTTCTCCAGGGGCCTGCCAGTTCTTTTCGGACACCAAATCCTACCCCATGGTGAATCGAGGTAGATGGCATGATTATCAGTTTGAATGGTCCTTCATCTTCAATCAGGGATTCCTTCATCTTTGTTTCTGTTATACCGAGGCATGCCAGATTTCTATTTTCCATAACCTTGAAGAGGTGGTTCCTTTTGATTTGGGAGGCACATCCCCTGACATTCAGAGTCGCGAGGTTTAGGGTCGCGAGTCTCTTTCTTTCTCTTCTTGATGACATCAGGATCGGACGACCCGTGCCGGCGTCACTCGGCAGCAACGGCTCTCAGTGGTGTTCTCAATTCAGATTTGTAAGATACTGGGTTACTCCCCTCTTCAGCATTACTAACGTCTCTGCTAATTGTAAGCCGTCGGGGAAACCTCCAGTTATTTCCGGTTCGAATATTGCTGACGTGTTGTGTGTTGCTATGAATCCGGTATTTCCTCGTGTTTTAACAGGCGTGATACTTCTTTGTGGTACTATGATGTCTTTCTTGGAAGTTTTTACTGCACACACATATTCATTTCCACTAGAAGTCTTCAAAGCTGTGATGAGGGATAAACACTGACGGTCGTCTGCTAAAATAGGAATACTGCCTTTTAACTGTTTTATGAGATGGGTGTCATTTTCAAGGGATGTTGCAGGGAGGCATCTTGTCAGCTCACAAATGGCATTGAATCCGATAATTGGCAGGTCAAGTTTTCCTTTCATCACCAAGAATGGAACTACGATGCTATTTTTTTCATCCTTACTATCAGACAATAGTTCCAGCTTCAATTCGACCCAACCCTCATAGGGTATAGGTGTCCCATTTGCGGCAATCAACTTTATTTCATCTATGTCCCCAACAATTCTTTGATTTCTCTCAATTTTATGTTTGGAAAACTGGTTTTAACTGTTTCTAGAGGGAGAATAGATACTTGTGCTCCAGTATCCCATAATCCTTGAATTTCTTTATCGTTGAGCTTTACTTTAACTGTACATTTCTGACCAACCAGTTTAACAATAGCATCGTTTTGTGATGGTGTCACATGAGCAGCAAAAATTGTATTTGGCTTGTTATTCTGATTTTCTAACGACAAGCTATTTATTGCTTTACACAGCGTTTTATGTTCTGCCCAATGTTTTCTTTGACAAGTTTGTCCGCAATACTTCACTGTCAGGCACGATTTACATTTCATCAGTTTTGATTCGTCATATCTAAACTGACAGTAGTTGCATCTCTGGGACGGTTCCTTTCTTGGCTGGGCTACGCGTTGTCCCTGTTTACATTTTCAGTTCCGGTCTCCTTATCCTCCCCCCGTCGCAAAAAAGACAGCCAGTCTGTGAAAATGGTAATTGTTTGATCTGCGGGCGCTTTATCAATAGTAAGGTCAACAAAGTTTCGAATTTCACGAAGGACTTTTCGTTTATTTAACCCAACAAGTACAGATTTGTCAAGTCCTAAATATTCTCCAAATTGTCGCAACTGAATTTCAATAGTACAAAGTACAAGTTCGAGGGTATCATAAAGTTCCTCAGCCTGCTCAGCCATGACATAAATAACTGCCTAAGTACGAGACCAAGATTGCGAAATCAATAAACGTCCAGGGCAGAAAGCGAAAACTTCGGCTCACGGACATGACCTAAATAGGGTACAGCAAAAGGAGAATCACGTAAACACAGAGAGAGAAGAACGACAAAGGCAAGTCGTTAATTCATAGGATTCTCATAAAATCACGAATGATGGCAAAGATTGAAAACTTACGACCTTCGATCGGCAAACTGCAAACAATAGGCCATCCCCAGCCACGAACACGATCGACTCGAAGATCCAGCAAAACTTTTCCGATGGGCATCAGATATGTGACTGTTATGCCCGGTCTAACCGTACATATAATAAAGAAATAACAATAAAGAATATCACCAATCCAAGAAGCTTCTTTCAATCTAATTCAACATAAAACTATGCACAAAATATACGAGCGTGGCTCAATAATAACGTTCTTCTAGAGTTCCGCTTCACTACAACGTCTTCAAAAAAATATGGGGGGTCCCCTAATTAATCAGTCACACAATGTCACACAAACAATAAATTGAAGCGCTCTACGGGCGCATTTTGAGCGCATCTAATTGGATTTAATTCGCTGCGCCCATAATGCGCTGTCTAAACTACGCCTTAGCACTGCCTTGCTGAAGTCTTGTAGAATTTCATTAGAAACATTGTGAGACAGCCATTTATACTTCTCGTCTCTTTTAAGCCATGCAGCTAATTCAGGCACATCATTTTTCTTTCGTGTAACAGGACTATTAAGTTCGAGTCTTTCTCGTTTTTTCCTCTTATAGCTTGCCCTTGGCATCCAAGATAACGCAAACTTGTGAAAATTGTCAAAGCCCTTCTGTTTTTTAGCATTTGCTCCCTTTTTCCAGAAACCATCATTGTTTCAACTGTTACGTTGGCGTCGCTGCTGTGAAGGTTCTATGAAGCTCTGACTGTTCATGTCGTTGAAAAGTTTGAAGTGCTTTTTTCCATGCTGAAAATTCATTCTCTACAAAACATTTATACGAGTCGACTACCGTGGGAATCGGCATTCCCTGACTTATTGTTGAAGTGCACAAGTTGCAAAACACTTTATCTTTGTCACTCTTGTATTCGAGCCATTTATACTTCGCTGACCATGAAGACCGGAATTTCCTTCCCTTTTCTTTCTTGCCCAAAATATCAACAGTCCTCTAATCCTATGATTTTCTTCTGATGTTCTTTTCCTGCATTGTTTTCTTTGCTCGGCCTTTATTCCTTGTTTATTTCTCTAAGTTGTTTAATCCTTGTGTCTTCTCTCGTGTCCTGATTGCTCCTCCAGCGAACTTCTTCATTACATGACTTACGTGTTATGTACTCCCTATGGACACCATTGTTTTAGTATCTATTAATGGGAATTAATCCGCTGGGAAAGTGCGCAGATTCCCCTTTTCTAGAATCGGGTTGCCCCACACGTATATCCTTAGTAGGCTGTGGATATCATGTTACCTTAGCTATTTGCTAATCACCTTGTGGTATTTTCTAGGTGGTCTTTTCCTGGCATATTTGTTTAAGTACAGTGATGCAGCTAGGGTCATGTCATATTTTGCAGCAAGACTCAGGCGTTGTTTGTACGCGTTTTCCCTCCCATCCCTGTCCCCTTGTACTCACTTCTCCTTCTGCTTATATCCCGTTACATACTTCCTTCTGCCTTCTCCTGTCTCACTTATTCTCACACAGTCATTCGGTTGTGTGACAGGTGTATCAGTCTGATTATCGGGGTAAAAAACTGAGGGAGTTTTTTCCCTGGAATCAAACACCGACCATAAAATTGCGTCATTGCTCAGGCAAGACAAGGGCTGATGCACCAAAAGCCCAACATGTTTTTCCTGAGATTAGGGTGATGTTTACCATAACTAAGGGATGGAATTAATGGTATATGGGACTAGCGGAGGTGAAGGTTGATGTTATGTTCAAGAGATATACAAAGAGTTTCTTTCCCGATCTTTACACTTACTTGCGGGCGAACATAAGATATAATAAAGTGGCGACGAGAAAAAGCGAATAATCAAGACTTGCAAGAAATATGGCTGCAAAACTTGACATGGCACCACTACAGTGTTTCGATCCCCATAGCGATCAAAGTAACCTTGCTGCGCGTTGGAAAACATGGATTAAACGATTTCAAACATTCCTCAAAGCAGCTAACGTCTCGAATAAAACACAGCAGCGAGCATTGCTACTCTACCAAGCAGGCCCTGAAGTTCAGGACATTTTCGAAACACTCGCCGATACGGGAAGAGACGATGATATGGACGCGGCAATCAAAAGTCTCACAGAATATTTTGCTCCAGCACAAAACACAGATTTTGAAATATTTCGTTTTCGCCAAGCAAAGCAACAACCCCAAGAAACTTTGGAGACTTTTCACACTCGCTTGAGGAAACTGGCTCAAACATGTTTATTTCCGACAGATTCAATGTATAGAGAAATAAAACAGCAAATTATTCAAGGTTGCTCGAGTTCCTCATTGCGGAAGTACGCCCTGAAAACAAAGGAGGTCACATTAAAAGACATTTTGGTGAAAGGCAAAACAGATGGAATCAGTAAAGAACAGGCAAAAGAAATAGAGAGTCAAACCACAGAGCCAACAGAAAAATTGCCAGCCATGAAAATCGAGCTCAAACCGGACAGACCGAGTGGGAAAGGAATAACACAACAAAAACGCAATTCTGCAAATCTACCTTCACGGAAACCAGCTATTTGTTACAACCGTGGATTCGATTACCCTCATCGAAATAAACCCTGCCCTGCCAAGGGAAAAGTGTGCAGTTACTGCAAGAAACAAAATCACTTCACTCGCTGTTGCAGACAACGTCAGAAAAGCCAACAAAACCGCGAGAAAGTAAACATAGTATAAGACAATACCAGCTCAGATGACAGCTCAGAGGAATATGTTTACTGTATGGATAAATCGAACGAATACACAAAGAAATTGGAGACTAAGCTCAAAATCAATGGACAGGAAGTTTGGTTTCTCATCGACACAGGAGCGAGTGTCAACATTCTGGATGAAAAGTCGTTTGACAGAATTAATACCACAGGGAAACCAGTCACGATCACGAAGTCAAACACCAAAATCTTTGCCTACGGATCAAAAGCACCACTCCAGCTGTTAGGTACTTTCGAAGAAACTGTTGAAACAAGTAAAAAGATTTCTCTTGCACGATTCCACGTTGCAAAGAACTTAAAAGGGAATTTGCTCAGTTCTCAAACGGCTCAAGATTTGCACCTTATCAAGATAAACATACACAGCGTGCAACAAGAAACAAAAACAGCCACACAAACACATTCAGCCAAGCCCACGGTAAATTCACCAAGTTACGTCAATCACTTGTTGAAGCAGCATAAGAAGGTTTTTAAAGGTGTCGGAAATTTGAAAAACTTTGAAGTTAAGCTACACACAAATTCTGCAATCTAACCAGTCATCCAAGCACAACGTCGAATCTCTTCCTACATACGAAAGAAAGTCGAGGAAGAACTAAAGCGACTGGAGGAAGATGACATAATCGGAAAAGTGGAAGGAGCCACACAATGGGTAAGTCCTTTTGTAATTAACCCAAAGAAGAACAGCGAAGAAATAAGAATTTGCGTGGACATGCGTTTAACCAACACCTCAATTTTACGCACAAGACACCCTATGCCAACGACAGATGAACTGATTGCTGATTTAAACGGTGCGTGTCATTTCTCTAAACTTGATTTGAAACAATGATACCATCAGCTGACACTGGCAGAAGAGTCGAGAAATCTAACAACATTCACAACACACAAGGGACTCAGGAGATACAAAAGACTTTGCTTTGGAGTAAACTCAGCAGCAGAAATTTTCCAGGACACCATTTCTCAGACTATTCAAGATATCAGCAATGCCAAAGACATGTCTGATGATGTAATTATCTGGGGAACGACTCTTGAGGAGCACAATACTGCATTAGAAAAAGTATTGCAACGATTCGAGGAAAAGGGAATCACTCTCAATGAAGGGAAATGCCGTTTCAACAAAACACGTCTTCAATTCTTTGGCCTAGTCTTCAGCAAGGTAGGAGTTAGCCCTGACCCAAGTCTTGTACAAGATTTGGCCAAAACACAACCACCAAAGAATGTTAGTGAAGTCCGTAGTCTACTAGG